GATATGTCAAATCACCTAACTTGATTGAATGTATTAACATATATAGAAAGAAAAATGTACTAACCAGAGTGTTGGCCAGTCCCAGAGGCAAAGTCTCACTGCTCTGTCTCATTATAAATTAATAAATTAGTTAAACGAATAATTCACTGATTGTGATTTGACTTCCTATGCAGATTGCCCCTGGGGAGAAAATGGCTTTGTTAGGCAGATACAAATATTTCAGTTTTTGAGGCAATTACATTTCTCATTGAAATTGAATTGACAGTTAGTTCCAAGATTCTGTTTAACATTAGTCTGCCACTAAAAGATAAATCCTCTGAACCTATAAAATCAGGTTTTGCAATATGTAAGTCTTCTGGTTAAACCCTCCCACCCTGGGGGCTCTCAGTAGATAGCCGTGTCATTTTTTCTTGTAATAGAATTTATGTTTATCTTAGTAAAGTCATTCTTTTTTTCACGATTTCCTTTACTGCTTCTACACATAAGACTGTATTTACTCTAGAGACTTGAGAAATACTAATTTCCGTTTCTTCTATTACTTGATATTTTAAGCATTTACCAATTTAATCCACTTAGGTGATGCAGTTTGCATATCAAGAAGAGCGCACCACTCATTCATTCGTTCATTCATACCATAACTCTTCATCAAGTGACATGAAAAACTACATTCCATCAGGTGCTATAAGGACCTCAGTTTGGTAGAGAAAATAAGTGAGTTTCCAGTAATTTTGTAGGTTAATAGTGCCTTGGGAGCTTTAAGAGGGAAACCTATCCAAACCTGGAGATTGAGGGTGGAGAAACAGGAGGGGAGGAATGAGGGACTAAGGGAACATTCCAGACAGAGGCCAAAGCCCCAGAAATAAAAGAAGGCAAGGCTTACTAGGAAATGTGAATAATGACACAACTGAGATCAAAAGAGCAAGGAGTGCAGAGATAGAGAGGTTCTCAAAGTGTTAGACCAGAGAAAGAAGCAGTGATGAATCATGACCTTACTTGTTCCAGGGAGCACTTGGCCAGAGTATCCCTATTGAGTATTTCTACTGTCACTCTAAGTTCATTGTGTTTTCAACTGTATCAGGGATTGGCAAGCTTTTTCTGTGCAGGCCAGATAGTAAACATTTTTGGTTTGCATGCCAAAAGGCTTCTGACATAACTATTCAACTCTGCTGTTAGAGCCGAGCTGGAAATAAGCCCTAGACATATGTAAATGAATGGGTGTGGCTGCATTCCAACAAAACTTGATTTACAAAACAGGCAGCAGGCTGGAATTGGACCATGGGCCATAGTTTATTCATCACTGATCCAGAAAAGTTCTTCAAAATAGTAGAAAATCATGTTTGGAAGCAACAAGGGTCAAATAAGCCACATCTGAAACCATAGCATAGGTTGCGTCTCTCTGCAGAAGTGTATGTTTCTGTGGGTTTATTGGATGGACCTTGATTACTCACAGATAATATATTCATTCCAATGCTTTTATCACAAAATGTAAACCTCAAAATTTTTAAAACTTGAAAAAATAAAAATGTTACATTCGTACACCATTTTACAGAATGCACTATTTATTTTAACTTTCTTGATAACCCATAAATGTCTGTGCACCTCTATTCCAGGAATGCCATGTTAATGCAAGGGATACTTTTCGGCCCAGACTGTTTAGTCTGTAGATGAATATCCGGCCCAAACTAGGATATAGAAAGACTTCTCTGGATATTTTAGAACTATCACTGAAGAAGAGCTTGTAAAACAAAAACTTTGGAGTTATTAACACATATGCTATATCGTGGGGACTGGGGAACAAAGACACCCAGCTTACAACAAAAGGGAATAACGAAGTGATTTACAGGGAGAGTCTTGGATAAAGTTGGGAGGGGAGTCCAGAGTGAACTTGAGACTTGGTTCAGCTGTTTCAGCTGCCTAAGTATCATCCTATCCCTGGCTTGGTTCCATGGGGAATCCTGTGGTCCTTAACATACATTATCATTTCCATTTTGGTTTGTGTTTTTGTTTTTAGCCAATTACAAAGTAATAACTATTAGAAAGAGTTATTCAGTGGGCACATAGTCAGTGTTTAACTATGTTTATCTGAATCTGTAAAAAGTCTACAGTAATAAAATTAAGAGGAGAATTAAGACAGCTACCCAGGAAAAAAAATTACATAAATGTTATGTAAGACAAAAATTCCCCATTTGAAAAAAATCTGTGTGCAAAAATACATTGGCTTGATGCCAAAGAAACCCACAGGCATTATTTACATCTATATAATAATGAGTTGGCTAAATTCAGAGAGAATTATGATCTGCAGTCTTACAGAGAGAATGCTGTGATTCAGGCCATTCAAAATGACAAAATGAACTTTATCACCAAAACAGAGTAGCTGACTGGGTGCTGTGCACACGTATGCAGCCATTGGCTTGCCTCTGCCCTCAGTACTAGTTCAGAGGTGGTCAAAGAGCCAGGAAGTATAGTTACTTACCAATAATTGCTTTATAATTAAAATATTTTTAGGTGACAGGCAGGCATAGACAAGTCCAAACATATTTGGCCCTTACAAATTCAAATAGAGGACCTTGATCCTCAAAATCTCCCAACTGTAGGGATTCAGAAGAAAGCTGCGGCCATTGTTTTGGATTAAATGAGACCAAAAGATTATACAGAAATATCAGCAGCTGTTTCTGTTATAGTATGCTTCCTCTTTCAAATGTATAAGGTGATCTTCTAGGTTAGTGGTTCTCAAAGTGTGGTCCCTGGACCAATAACATTCACATCACCCAGGAACTTGTTAAAGGTATAAAATCATGGGTGTCACTCAAAACGTGCTGAGTCAGAACCTCTGGATGTGGGCCCAGCAGGCTAACTCTCATACATAATGCTGCAGACCGAATTATGTCTACTTCTGCTTCCACCACATTTATTTGTTGAAACTCTAACCACCAATGTGATAATATTTGGAATGGAAGTAGGTCCTTTATAGGAGGAAACCAGAGAGTTTGTTCTCTCTCTCTTCCTACACGCAAACACTGAGGAAAGGCTAAGTTAGCACACACAAGATGTCTGTAAGCCAAGAAGTTAGCCGCACCAGACCCCAAATCTCTCAGCTTCGATCTTGAACTTCCCAGTCTCCAGAACTGTGAGAAATAAATATCTGTTGTTAAACTCATGCAATCTATAGTATTCTGCTATAAAAGCCTAAACTGACTAAGACACATGCTGAAGTTTGAGAACCACTGCCCCAGAATAAGCAAAGCTCTTTAATGACATTTTGGGAGAGGTTAAGGGGTAAAGAATGCATAGTGACGACACTTCCATGCACTGAGCAATAAGAGAATCAAGCTGATATAATCAAATGTTTGGATATTTTGTCGGAGCACCATGATAAATATATTATGCTTGGATATACTCACCTTCTGTAAGAATAACACATTTGGGGAGGCACTAGTTAATGCTACATGACTTTAATTTTAAAACTGCACAATCTATTCCTGGATTATTTCCTGTTTTCTTAGGCAATTACAGCGAATGTTGGGTCACACAGATATCTTACTCAGTAATTGAAAGTGTGAATACTGTAAGAGAAAATTATTTTCCCTTTAAAAATGTTTTAAATTCATGTTTATTATGTGAGGAATGGCTTATGCACCTGGGCATGATTACATTAATTCACTATTTAGCACTGAATTCTATTTTGGAAGAATAAAAATAATTATAATACTCCATATTTACATGTTAGCTATTATGTTTCTGAATGGCTCAGTCAAGTTAGTTTTGTTATAGAAAATGGTTGATATTCTTTACATGTTATTGGATTGTTGTTTGAACAAAATTTATTTCAATTAGGAAAAAAAAATATGTCCTCAATTAATTGAACTTTGAAAACCCATTCCCTAGAATTCCCTTCACATTAGATATTTCTGTTGATAATTATATCTTGCTGTGTGAAAATATATATGTAGAACTGCATTTTTTATTATCTCTTATGATTATTAGAGAATTTTATTTAGCCCTAACTAAATTTTTAGAAATACTTTCTGTCTCTGCCTTTCATTCTGTTTTTCAGCCAAATGATATTTAAACAAAACTTAGTTGACTCATACAGGCTCCTTAAAGTAGTTTTGATTCTTCAAATTAATTGCTTTTGTAATATTAAATACACACTTCTATTTATCTGTCCCTAAGTTCAAATGTGTATGTTGTCCTTGAAAAATAGGCAAATGCCATTTCATATTTATGTAAACCTGCATGTGATCAAGATTTTATATGTTTATTGTACATATAGCAATTTCATTAGATATTGTAGAATAAAATTATTTTTACAATTATAGTATATATATTTGCAAATTTACTGCTTTAGTGAGTTCTCGAACAAACATTGCTGGATTTTTATATCATTAATTCTTTTTCAAAAAAGAAAAAACACTTTGGAACAAAAATCCAGGGGCCTTATAATAAGGAGTAATACTACTCTTTCTAAGTTAATGTCACTTTAGTCATCTTGTTTCTCTTAGTAAAAGGTAGGATATTTGGTCATTTATTTTTGTGTTTATATTATCATGTACCTTCTCAACCTTCAATATCATTGAAAGTCACTGAATTGTGTGTTCAATTTTGTGTGTTAGTGTTTTAAAATAGCAAATCACTTCTGTCATAATTTTTCTAAAAAGTATTTAAAAGTCTATATAATATTAATAAACTTGTAGCTGTTGATTTTAAAGTCATTGGAACAATCTTTGATGTGTTCTCATATACTAACTGACATAAATGTTAAAACAGAGAAAATAGATTGTTTATTCTTCAGCTTCAACTAATGCAATGTTTGCAATTAAAATATTTATCAATAGGTGGTGCTAGAAAGTGTAATATTTATTCCAGTAGCTGAACTTCCTGGAAGAATGTGCTAAAATGCTTTTTTTTCTTAAAAGCAAAACACTCTATGGCTATATCTGTATCTATCTATCTATCTCTATATATAATACAAAATTAACCCCTGCTTGTTTTTGTTACAGCTCCATCCAGAACAGTTCGACTGGTTGGTGGTAGTGGTCCTCATGAAGGAAGAGTGGAGATTTTCCATCATGGCCAGTGGGGTACAATTTGTGATGACCGCTGGGAATTGCGTGGTGGACAGGTCATCTGTAGGAGTTTGGGATACCAAGGTGTTCAAAATGTGCATAAGGGAGCTTATTTTGGACAAGGTAATTTAAATTAAAGAAAATGTTTTCTTTTTTTTTTTTTTAATGATATGTAGGCACTCTCTAATATGTAGAATCAAGTAGAGAAAGGAACATATGGGATAAGAAGAAAATTCTATGTAGGATTTTTTAAATGGCCTTTCTTAGAAAGTAGAAATGAAAAGAAAGGGATATTAAAATCAAATGACATATGCTCTCAGACAACCTTTAATGTTTAAACTTCATTTAGACTTCATTAGTTGGAGAATACTAATGTAGAAAAAACAGAGTGATTGGTAAGGCAGAACAAGAGAAATAGGGCCAAGTTAATTATAGACAAGGCGCGGTATCCTGCGAAGCTCAGTTCACATAGCTGGATCTTGCAGGCCTCTGAGCAGTTCCACGTGCTCACTCTTATTTGCTCTCTTGTGGAACCGGAGGGGAGGGTACCAGCATCTGCACTTACCTCCCAGTCATGGTCCACAGGAATGAGATTGTCCTCAGTCACTCCGGAGCCCACCTTCTGAAAGGACAATAAGGAACTATGAATGAGAAGGAGACGGGTACTCGGGCTCTCTGGACCCACTACTATGATTTCTCCCCCTTTCAGAAATGTGACGGGAAATAAGGGAAGAGAAAGGTTGCCTTCCTCTCTGAGGCTGATAAAACACTGGATAATTCTTTTGCAGCATGTATATTTGTGTATTTTCACCTGGATGACTCAATAACCTTCTATGAATGTGTGAAAAGAGATAGCTCGGAAAGGTTAAGTGAGCACACGGCAAGATGTCTGTCAGCCAAGTGGCATGAAAAACTACACTCCATCAGGTGCTGTAAGGGCACAAAAGATTTGAATGTATACCCATCACATTATTACTGTCTGATTTCTTTTTTCTAAATTGGCACCTTATAATAAGCTTTATGTATAATTAAACATACACAAGCACTTCAGTTCTGAATTATGAGATTAGAAAAGAATAGCCATATAGGTATATAAACTAGAATTTAAAAATCATTATTTCCTAGTTACTTATCCTACTGTTCAAATCTGATTAAAAATAATAATAATCGGTTTCTCTGAAGTTGATGTTGACCAAGAAAAAAAAAAGATTTGACTTTGAGTTTCATAAGTATTGTTCTAAATAGATAAGGACAAGAGGAAATTACATGCAAAGTTATAGAGATAAGGTTATCTGGTAGTGCTGCTATTTTATCTACAGTGATAAAATAGGATAATGTCAAATCATCAGATAGAAAAACTAAAACAATATAAGATAGACTTCTTAAATTCGTAAAAGATGTTAATATTGTGCTACAGTTTATTGAATGATAACTATGTGCGGGCCTTGTGCTAACTACCTGAGTAGTATTAATAATAGGCCATAACTACATCCTTTAGCCCTTTACCTAAATGAATTCACTATATCAGATTCACTGTATCAGATTTAAGAGATGAATTTAAGCAGGGGTCCAGGTTCTGAAGTCTTCAGAGGCCGGAAGGATAATTTAATCTCATAAACAGGCAAAAGAAGACAAAAGAGTGATGGTGAAAGTTTCTGGGATTAAAATTACTCTTGCGCCTGAAAATTTACCTCCTTAAGTGAAATGTTTTAAACATCAATAAATGGATTTTTTTTTCCAGAGAAGAGGAAAAGAAAAAAACCCTCCATCCCTTAGTCAGTAGAGAATCAAATGAATCAGTCAATCATTTAGCAAAACCAAGATGCCAGTCAGTTTCTACAGTGGGAGGGAATCCATGTTTATGGTAGCTGAAATCCATAGCTTGAAAGGCTATTTATTTTAAATACAAAAGTGTATATACATTTCAAGTGGCTGTTAGCTTCTGTGAAGTCGACCACTGCAATTCTAATAGAAGGCCAAGAGTTCTCATTCATGCTGCCTACTCACCTGATAGATTGCTGGGAATTATTCAGTTTTAGAAATAACCACATATGGATGATTTGAATTCTTAGTATGTGTCTTTGTTGACAAAATGAAATACAGTTTGCCAGTTCTTCAGGTAATTTAATCAACACGGACTAGCTGAATGGCTCAGCCCCAAAAGAGACAAATATCCTAAAATATCTTTCATGAAGCTGAGTTATTTTATAGCTTACATTATCCAGAGTTGGCAACTCTGCATTTAGCTTTGTATCTTTAAGAAACAAGCCCAGTAGTATAGTTTATTCATCTCTTATATCTTCAAGAGAAAACCAAACTCAGAGCAACAGCAGTAGTGCTTGCACCTTAATTTGGGGAAAACTAGTAAGGTTTGGCAAAATACGATCTGCGGTAGGAAAGCGAACAAGATGTCGTTACCCAGCTTTATTTCCTCTCTGTATATGAAGCCTTCCATAGACTTCAAAGCTGTTTTCCCATTAAGTTTCCAAACAGAGGTGGTAGGCACACAGCTGGAGTCTAGTGTCTTAAGACTGTATTAACTTTAAGGCCTCGTCTCACAAGTAAAATATTCGTTCCCCCATTGCTTTTATTCATTCCTGCTTGTACCTCTGGGGATTTCTCATCTAAAGCATTGGTAAGAAAGGAAGGAAATAATTCTTCTGAAATACTCGCAAGAAAATGTTTTCTACTTAAATAAGTAATGAAATGATAGAGTTTAGTCTCATGTGAAGTTAGACATTTGGCTACATGGAGACAATTCTTTTACATTGTCTTCAGATACCACCTCCCTAAGATGAGTGTCCATTTTTAGTGAAGCTGTGTATTTATGGTAACTGGTCATTCTGTACCTTTACTTGAGTTTTAGTATAGTAAGACAACAAGGTGCATCAGAATTGTGTTTTTCCTTCCACATTTACAAGTGCCTACTGAAGTGAATTGGAAAGAATGGGAATTTTATAAATAAGGAGGTAAGAGTTGAAACCTTAGCTCTGCTGCTTATGTCTCAGAGTTTCAATTTCCTTTCTAATAAACTGAGAATAATAATAACAACCCAGCAGATTTATTCTGAATCTTAAATAAGCTGGCATGTAGAAAGTGCATAATACAAAGCCTCACTCATAGCACTGCTTAATAGTGGCAGCGATCTCCACCAAGCACCAACACCCGCTGTACCATCGCAAGGGCATATGCCATCCTCTCGGAAAGGCAGGAGGATCCGATTGGCGTTACGTAGCTTCCTGACATCAGTGATGTTCACAGGTCATAAAGCTGAATGTGGTTTCCTGCTATACACAAGTGTGACTGAATAATCACACCAAGCAAATGAAGAATGATTATGAGAATTTTAAAATAATAAAGCCAGATGAGCTGGGAGAAATAATAGCACTGAGGTTATTTGTTCTGAAGAAAAGGACTCAGAAGTGAATGTCATGATCTGCTTCATTGCACATCATATTTTAAGAAACAGGTTTACATTGTAAGCTGATTTTGGCGTAGACATAGCAAACAACCTTTTTATGTAAAGCTGTTTCAGCTCCTCCTTATTTTCCTACCCCACCTTAAATTTACAATTTCACTCAGGAGGAAAAGAAAAGGCAGTTCTGAATGCGGAATACAGACAGGAAAGGAAACTCAGAAATATGAGCAGAGGGGTAAGAGAGAGAGAGTTGCATCTGAGTTTTAATGATTTGTCATTCTCTTAGGAAAGTAAGAAGAACCAGATTAATACTACATTATACCTTATTCCCAAAACTGAAACAAGAAAAAAAAGTTTAATTTATCCCCTTTGTATGATTCCCCCATTAAAGACAGAATACAGTTTTCTGGATACCATTTCCCCCTCTCCTTGTTTCCTTCTGATTTTAAAATAGCAAAACTGGCTTACCAGAGATAATTCTTCTTAGCTTTAAGAATAATTCATTTTGCAGCTGCAAGCAAAATGATTTATAGGCATAAAGCTTAAAGCATGCTCCTTTAAATAGGTTCTTTCACTTGGATACACCTTTTGCATAAAATGGAGTGTTCTCTTTTTTTGCCTGAGTAGACAAAAAAAGGTTAAAAGGAGGAAGCACTGAATAGCTCCTAGTGCTTGTCATTGCATGGGGCAGGGAAGGAAGAGGGAGACACTTGTCCCTATGTAGACTTTCTGATCTCTTGTCCCAGTGGTCTCCCTGGAGCAAACTTGGATGACCTTTATCAGACAACAGTGGTACCTCAGGAATGTGTTCCAGGCACATCTGAGCCTGTATGCTGATGCAGCAGGGAAGGCTGGGCCTGGGGCAGCCAGCTCATCTAAGTTTAAGGAAGCCTGTACTGAAACTCCAAACTTAAAGGCAGAAACAAATGAAAATTCTAAACATAAATGCTATCTTTCGTTTATTATCCCTTTCCCATTCCATAGTCAGTTTTCTAAGTGGAACTTTAAAACTGCAAGATAAACTGAAGATCAAAAATATAACTGCACCTCTGAACTCTCTTTTACTGAATGAGTACAAAAATAATCTTAAAGATAAATAAAATTTATCAGTGGGTCAGAACTCAAATTCTCACATGTGGCGGCACCCTGCACACCAGCAGTTTTAAAATGTAGATGTTTGATGTTGGGTATTATAGATCCTGATACAGGTCCTATAGAGCTCTTAAATTACTTAATTTGTTACTTAATGGTAACAGAGACCATATTAAGTATGGAATAATGTTGTTTACCAAGTGCTTACTACATGATCTCATTTAGTGCTCACAGTGCCTATGAGAAATAGATATTTTAGCCCCAATTTTCTGAGAGAAGTAAAGCTGACGGAACTGTCACAAAACTTACCCAAATTTACAAAGCTGTTGCTGTGGGTAAGGGGTCAAGATTCATGCCTTAACCTGCCTCTGTCCACTAGACAGAATGTCCTTTTAAGTTCTTTATCCTTGAGAACTTCATTTATAAAGAGCTTGCTTTTTCAGAATCTTACAATCATAGGATTTCAAAGGTAAATGAAATCGTAAAGCTATTTTAGCCCCACCCATTTATTCTGCACATATGATAAAGCAGGAAAGGTGAATGACTTCTCCAGAATCCAGAACTATAAGTTTACCCATTCTCTATTCTGAGTCCCATTCCATTTTCTTTTTTTTTCTGTGGCTTGCTTTTTATTTTTTATTAATTAATTTTTTTATTATGGTATCATTAATATACAATCACATGAGCAACATTGTGGTTACTAGATTCCACCCATTCCCATTCCATTTTCAACTTTGATCCAAAAAAATGAAAAATAAAACCACTGTTTTTTTCCCAAAAAGAAGCTGCTGGCAAAGCACTTCCCAACTGGAAGTCTTAAAAGTGATACAAATTCAGGTGACCTGGCCATGACTGGATTCAGTTAAAGTTCATTCAGACTTTTATCCATTAGTGATTTTTGCTTTCCCACTTACTATTCAGCAGCTAATGTCAAATCTCATCACTTTATTATATATCTGGCTAATATATGATATATGAATACTTTATTTTTATAAAAGTGATGCATTACCGAAGATCAAGTTAAAGAAACTCGAATCTCTCCAAGAAATTTCAATACCTGTCTTTTAAAAGGAGATTAAGAGGAAGTGTATCCTATGTAAAGCATACCCAAGCATCACAAACCATGTTCACAAAATTCCAGAAGCCGTGGACAATACATTTATTGTTGGGTTGCTTTTGTAAACACAAAACTGATCCACTTGTTCCCTACAGCTCTCAAATTGTAAATGGAATAATAGATATAGAGATGGTTAGGTAGATAAAGAGATAAATGATAAACAGATAGGATTAGACAAAAATATCTAAAATATATGTAACAATTTGGCATAGGTTTTCACTAGTAGTAGAAAAGTTAGTGCAGAGACAAAAAATAAATAAAAACCATGACAGAAGCAACAGGAAACATTCTTGAGTAACAGTTATTACCTAAAAAAGTAAAAACAAAATTTGTTTTAATCTTTGAGGTCTACATAAAATTTTCTGAATTTCATGCTATCTTTGCATTAATTTTTAATGCAGAAAACAATTTGGAATGAGATGGGAAATAGATATTAAATAAAATCTTCCCTTATGCTCAATAGCCCTGAATACATTAATATAAAAATAAGACAAATCTTTGAAAGTTATCTTTAAAACTTTATTTGGACTTGTGTGTACGCATTGAATAGCACCAAGTTGTAAATGTCCTTATGTTCTGCTGCTTGGCTCTATTCTCTTTGTTAATTTGAGAAAGTTGCACATCCTTTCTGAGTCTCAGTTTATTTACCTATGAGGTGGAGATAACTACCATTGTTTTACAAAGTTATTAGAAGGCATACATTTTGAAAACAGTGTGTGACAAAACCTAGGATGTTCACTGTGTCTTAATCTTTTCCACATAGCAAAAGACCAGAATTACTGAATGGCACAATGTATTTATAACATCCATGTGTTCTTGGTGGAAAACTGGAATAGAAGGTAGGGGTTCTAGGTGCAAATATCAACACTGCTGCCCATGACGCATGTGACCCCAGTTGCTACATCTTCCTAAAACAGAAGCCCTCACAAAGCAGTTCAGTTCAAGAGTAAATGGATTTGGGTTTTGTTCCCTCAATGCAACCACTGAAACAGATTTGTTGAATGACTGAACCTACTAATGCACTAGATTACTGATTAAAGGCCCTGGCTCTGGGCAGACGCAGGGTGGGGAAGCCGGCTCCAGGGTGCGTTAGCCCCGTGACCTTGGACACAACTACTTAGTCTCTCGGACTTTCACTTCCTCAACAGTAAAATGGCCCTATGAAAGCACTTAACTTTTTAAGGTTATTTGAGAATTTAATGAGATAAAAAATCAAAGGACTTTGAATATTTCCCATTACATAGTAGATTCCTCAAAGAGTGGGCTTAAATGTTTCTTATTATTACTACAGCTTTGGCATTCTAACGCTCTTGAATTCCTTCACTGTGGTTTCTATAGACTTGGGCTCACATGTCAGCACATTGACTAAATAGTATCCACCTAGTGCTGCCCCTTTGGGGATGACCCTTTTGTGCTGCAGCCTTTAGGAGGATTCCCACTCTTATTTCTCTTTACCTAGATGGTAAAAATTCTACATCCTGAGATCAAAATCCAGAAACTAGATCTACGAAACATACAGTGAAAGCATCACAATGCCCTGGCTACAAGGGCCATACAGCCACACCATTCCCATGCTCCCGATTACGACAGAGCCAGGCTTTCACCAAAAATTTTACTTATATTTATTTATACAACTTATAAACATCCATAAATGTAATAAATACAGTTTATAAATATCCCACTGTTTTGACTTCGGTGTTAACACGGGGGTAGTTTTACTGTTTGTGCAATTGTTATTATTTGCCTACAGTTTTGAGTAGCCTTTTAGGGTTACCAGAAAGTTTGCATAGACTTTATATATTCAAAAAGAAACACAGATGCACAAACTTGTTCACACATGAAAACACTCACAGACACAAAAGAGACCTTGCTTTACATAGTAAGAGCAATTTTGGGAACTGAAAAGTATCCCTAGTAAGGTTTCTGAGTTTGAGGTCATAATCTTTTCCTTTTTATCTGCCTTAAAAATTTCAACTTGAGAAGCCTCAGAACTATTATAAACATATCAGAAAAACACTGGAGCTCTCCAAGGTACTAGTCTTAAATTGTCAGCCAGGAAAACCTTTGTTTTTCTAATAAAACATTGTCTGGGTTCTAATAATTTAGTTATTATTATATGAGATGAAAAATACAATGTTCCCAACTACCTTGATAGTGTAAACCTAAATATAATTTTGTCTCATATTTGGATTTTTCTAGTGAGGGCAAAAATTATTCAAGAATTAAGTGAATTTGCACGTGAAAATAAAAATTTCCTGAATAATTCTAAGAAAAATAAGAACATGAGCCTTTATGGAAAATATCTATACAGACATCCTGTTAACTGTCCTTCTAGCTAATAGATTTTCTTCTTCAGTCCAATTTCCACATTTCTGCCAGACATACATTTCTGAAATGTGGTTCTGATGCTATTATTTCTTTTGATGACTCACAATATAAAATTCTAAAATTTTTATATCATGGTCTCAACTTTCTATCCAACCTTTCCTATGAGTCTTCCTTTCCTCATTAATATACTTTGTGTTTTGAATGCCAGAAGACTGTTAACTATTCTAATACATCAAGCGTTCTCATGCTGCCCCCACTATATGGAATGACTTCTTTTTTATATCCATTTTTAAAGGTTAGGTCAAATGTTGTCCACATTATGATCACAAAAATCCCAATATCTTCTAATTTATTCATATATGCACATACTGCTATACAATTATGCACATTATTAACATATACATTGTTAACTTTTATATACTAAGCTCACAGAATATTTGAAAATCAGTATGAGTAATGTCATATGTGCCATTTATTATACATGCCTCTCTGAGAAACAAGTCTTATTTAACTTTATGTTTTAGAGCTACACAAAGATCTGTTTCTAAGTTGAAATTATTTCCAAATATGTTTTATATAGTTCTGATGACTGAAAGAGAACCTTTTAACATGTTATTGATCCAAATGGAAGAAATGTGTTATTGATTATGCTTACAGTATCAAAATACTCATTTACCATTCAACCAGTTTTGAAAAAATAATCAGTTTCTTGATGGCATGAAATGTTCCTGAAAACTCAAAAGGATGTATGCAATGTTATCTATTTAACAAAACCCATAAAATCATTCACTAGAAGTTTTTCAAAGATTCTGTTTCCAAATGTCTTAAGTGTAAAAGAAAAGAGAACTTTTGTATGTGATGCACTTAGAAAATCTTTAGAGAATCTCAGAAAAACATTTCCAAATATTATTTTTAAAATTGTCTTTTCTTGACATGCATAAATTCCTTTCTAAAGGAAGTTATTTTCTTATTCATTGATAAAATACTGTCTTCTTCTTGAAAGTGGCAGTTAAGTTTGTCTATTTAGTAGGCTAAATATTTGCTATGTAGCCTACTGCTGACAGGCATTGTTTTCCCTTCCAATGTGTCTGAGGAAGAATTCAGACAAACACAGTGTTAGCTCTACCACTTTCACATTGTTTGCTTGTGTTTGCAATTAAAAATCCATGGTCTTGCAGGATAGCTTCTAAGCCCTTTGCTGATTGTATTGGTCTTAGTTTAATTAAAAAACAGATAATATATTTGGTAAGCCAGGCACACGTACACTGAACTACACTGGAAGCTAAAGAAAAAGTCCAGGATATCTTACATCCCACAGTATCTCATACAACTATACTTATATAATCCGGTCACTGCATATATCCATAAATATTAAAGCTTACTTTCTTATTTTTAAAAAATAATTCATTAAATCCTTAGAGAAAATCAAGTATTCTGTAATCTAAAATTTCAAAGAACTGTGTATGTACTTTTGTTACAGCTCTTAGTACTTTGTATTTTAGTAGTTTACACATTAGCAGAATATAAAGTTTTCTGGGGAAGGAGATTAATTTTTGAATCCTAATAAGACAGAATTTATATATAGATAAGAATCAACATGTTATGTTAAATTAGTAAATAAGTTAATGGCTTTGTCCCACTCAAACATAAACCCTAAACTGTATTTACTAATGCATTTGTATCTAATTTTTGCAGGTACTGGTCCAATATGGCTGAATGAAGTATTTTGCTTTGGGAGAGAATCATCTATTGAAGAGTGTAAAATTAGACAATGGGGTGTCAGAGTCTGTTCACATGCTGAAGATGCAGGAGTCACGTGCACTTTATAATTATTATATTTTCATTCACATTTATAAATCTTTGTTGCAAAATGATCATTTTGTTCCATTAAAATCATTTCAATTAATATTTAAGAGATTAATAATATTGTCCAAAAAAGAATATTTAAAAATCACTGGATAAGCATACTGAACACCCTTATACTTAACTACATGTCTCTATTTGAACCATTTTAACTTCTTTAGGTTTTTAAATGGGATTTTCTAATAATGACATATGTTGAATTGAGTATATTGAAGTTCAAGGCTTCTAGACTACAAATGCCAGTGGTAATGGAAACACATTCTAATCATTGGCTCCAATTTATATGTTCACCACAAGGTTACAATTTTGGTACTTTTTGTCTTCTTTGATTAGTTTAACTACTTTATAAATAATGAGAGGATTGGGATTGTGCCAAGTTTGCAAAATCTCCAATCCATACACATTTTTAAAGGAAGAATCTTCTCCAGCTCTCAAGATCTCCGAATGTGCAGTAACTTGGCCATTAAATAGCAATGTTAATGATAAGTTTTAGCTGTGATGCAAAACTCATCAGGAGGTTTTACATGCCCATAACTGGAATGGCCAGTAATAACATGGTTATTGATACTAATAACATGGTTGTTATTTTACATGATCATGTATTGACAGTCTTTCTTACTGAACTATAAAGTTAACTGAAAGCAGGACATATGAGAAAAGGCAGATGCCCACCATCCCTACATATGTCCAGATAATTGGTGGCTCATCAATATCAGTTTAAACATGGAGTTTAGTTTGTTATGCATTTTTAATTGAGCTGAATTTAGTTAGCTTGTTACAATTCTGGGACAATGTGTTTAAAATGTGAATACATCTAATTACTCCATTTTAAGAAACAGCACCCAGGTATCTTAAGTGCAGAGGGAAGCTTCAGCTATCCTTTTTTGGTGTCTTTGATGAAGTCAATCAACATTTACAACCAGAGAGAGATGGTAGACTCATTGCCCTCTCACCTGCAAAAGCAAGAATGTTATCTTAGAATTGGAACTATTAGAACCAACCTGCTAAAAATGCACTTTTATCATATGACATTCTTCTAGTTGATGACCATAAGTGACTTCCTCCAGCAGTGTAATTTTGTGATTTAGAGAATGGACTCTGAAAGTAGACAGATGTGTCTCAAACCCTGCCTTTACCTTCATCTAGTTACTATTTCTCTGTGTTCATTTCCACTATCTAGGCATTTCCTTCATATAGCAAACAAGATGGTATTAAAAAGAATTTTTGCATTAAAAAATATTTTTAAAAAAGAGGAAGGTGAAGGAAAATGGAGGTAGAAAATACGAAAAAAATCAGTTGGTATTTAAGAACAAAACATATTTCACCTTAATTGTCTGCAGACATAATTTCAAGTAAAAATTTCCAATTTTTCCAAAAATTATAAACTATGGTAGTCTCAGGGAAAGTGTTGAATTGAGTCATATTCTATTATGAATCATATGTAATACTTGTTATCAAGAAGAAAATAGAACATTTGGAGCCTCATAAACTCATGTGCTCAGGATTGCAGCAATGCTTATAATCAACCAATCACTGGCAGGAGATACAAATTTACCACTACTGCGTTAGAATGATACATGTGTTTACACTCCAGAGTTCGAAAAGCTCAAGGCTCATGAAACTCAAAGGCCCATGTTAACTAAAGGAAATCAAGCTTCTGGTAGAGAGCTGGAAGAAGGGAATGGCTGGCAGATAGACAGTTAACAGTGTTTCCAGGGGAAGAATAATTAGGACACGGTTATGTTGATACAGTTTTGAATTTGTTGAAATGGAATACAGGAATTTTAGGAATTATCTGTTTGGCACTAGATACAGCTTTTACAAAGCATATAGCCATAATACAGTCCAATTTTTTTTTAACTGTACATTTACTTTCCACATTTTCTTTAGCAAATGTTAGGTAATGGATTTTTAAGTGTTTTTCTTTAATCAAATCAGTCTTCTCACATCACAAAATGGAACCTGGTATTCCTTAGTGGTATTTATCAGGTCTTTTGTTTGACAGAGTATATTTAGAATTTTATTCATGTCATTTACAAAAGTTGTGTTTAAACTTTTATATCTTTAACAAAGGACTTGTTTTAGGTGTATGTTATAATTTAGAATAGTTTCTTAAACAAAAGGAAAAAAATAGGGAGAGTGACATTAGCAAAATAGTGGAGTTGGCAGCTCCATGTGCCCATTTGTGGATAAAGTGAAGGGTCCCGTGGCCAGTATCCTCAGGTGAACCCAAACTACTTGATGATATAACTGGCCTGCTGCTAGGCCACTGCTTCCACACCTGTAGGCAATAAGCTACTATTGATGGAGTCATTATATAAACAGAAGGCAGAGGCGAAGGTGGATTACAGACGTAATTCTGGTGCTCCATCTATTGCCAGGACAACAAGCCGGGTAGTAAACCCTTTTCCCCGAAGAGGGTTACATTGTCATTCCTCGGCCTCACTGAAGCCGTAGTGAACGTCCCTGAGGCTGAAACCCATCGGCAAGACATCATTCCCCACAGAAACATGGAAAAACCAGTGAGAACTGTCAGAACCAACTTTGTCAGGACTCTGGAAAACAATTTTACAGCAACTAAGCAAATGTTGAGCTAAGAAAAAAGCAACTTGAAAACTGGGCACGTTTTGTAGCACTGCTCTTCATGCCTGTCTCCTCACTTCCCGGTCCCTGTAGCTGTCTTGGACTTGAGACAGTGGCCCCCAGCAGTCCCAGTTCGGGGCTCTGGTCCCTGATTCCAGAGGACACACAGCAGACCTTCTTCCAAATGATTGTTAGGCCAGTTCTAACTTGTCTGAGGATTGCCCAAAGGACTGATGTAGGCACTCAGTTGTGGTCAAATGTTTTGCCTGACCTGGAACTCACCTGGAAGAGCAGCAAGCATTGCTCAGAAATGCTGCAAATGGGATCAACAACCCTCCCACGCCCAGGGTCAAAGGTCACAGGTGAAACATACCATAGACTGTGCAAGGCCTGGTAAGAAAAGCTGGGTAGAGTTTCTTTGGATGTCTTTAAGAAGCCCTGTATACAGGGAATTTAGAAAATCATGCACCTGCCTAGGGCAAGATACATGGACAGCCAAGACCTAAGAAGAACCTAAGCTTTCACCTTCCCGTATATAAAGCAGGTAAGTAAAAAATGGAATTATTTCCAATTACTTTGGCTGTTGAACTGTGCTTTCTAAAGGCAACTCTGTGCTGAGGCTGAAGCACATAGACCCAGGCTTTAGAAGTTTTACATTAAGTATCCAATTTTTGTGCTGTAGGTTTTTCTATGAAAATGTCAAATACACCAAGGATTTTAAAAAGGGAAATTACTCTCTTACTTTTAGTATCTAGAATTAAATGTGACCCTTAAAGTGCTTTGGGGTTTCCTGAATGAAAAACTGTAGAATTACATGCCTGGAGTGATTTAAGGTTAGGGAGAAAAATAGACTCAAATACATTTGTTAATCATCATTAAGAACCTTTCTAGGGCCAAGTAAGTTCAATCAAACCTGTAAAACATTTCAACTTAAAAAAAAAAAGCCTTTTATGCTTCATACTTACAACATTTCCTTAAAATGAGTAATAAAATTAATAACATAAATTATGCATTTATTTTCTTTTGCTAAATTGCATACAATTTTGTCCTTTAAAGGTTCAATGGCAGAATATAGTGAAAAAACAGGTCCTCTTCTGAATAAGGGCCTATTAGGGAAGTCAAGCCTGCTGACTGAGAAAACTAATTGCTCACATACCCAAGTCAGCTGCCAAGGAGATTAAGGAGTAAAAGCCATCACCTGAGAGTGTTCAGAAAAAGCAAAGAAAAAGACCAAGGGAAGGACAGAAGAAACAGGAAATCCAAGAAACAGCACATTTGCTAATGATCTCTTCATTATATGTGGAAAATTTTGAATTAGAAGGTAAGTCAGTTTGTGATTTTTTAACATCTTATGGTAAAGAAATGAGATAACAAACTAGTTGGGAAAAAATGGCTTGTGGGACTTTAAGAAGACAATTGTTTTTGTCTTAATATTCACATTCTAAAGTTGACTACCTACTTAAAAACATGTTCATTCCACCTTGCTGGTGTTAAGGAAAATACAAAGAAATTTAAGGGAACAAGTTTATCGCATAAACATTTTCCTCTCTGTGCCTGTGTACTCAAATTATCTTTGGGGGTGATCTGTACCCATAAAACTGGCTTATGTGACACAACAAAACCAACATTTGCTATGTCAGAACACTGTTTTATTTTTCATTTTAAAATAGAATTACAATATCATTTACCTTTTATTCATTAACAGTGAGAAACATACCACACTAAGATAAAGCACAAACACCTAATATTCCCTGTGCTAATGCTCTCCTTGTGAAGATGAACAGCTCCAACAATTTATTATTTGCCACGTGCCCCAAGGGGCGAGGAAGGCTGTGTCATTTCAGGAAAAGGTTAATATTTCGTACGAAGCTGTATGATTCGGTCAGAGTACCAGATGGGAATGGGGAGGAACCACAGTTCTGTCCTGGCTGTGCCTCTTGCTGGCCACACGTTCTTAAGGGGAGTGATTTAGGTTCTATTCCTCAAATCCTGGCACATAAAATGGAGTGATCCTATGTGACTTAGTGACTCAGAGCATTACTGTGAGGAGCACATGTGAACTAGAATTACTAACAAGTTATTGTCAAGGACCCCTAATATTCACGAGCCCTCCCACATTGGATGGTGTTAATCTAAGTGAAGAAACTGAATGATTTGAGGTTGCTTTTGTTTGGAAGTTGCATTTTGATGTGGCTCTGAGACCTCCACACGCCACTGCCTCATTGATGGCGTCCTACTGTGTATCTAGAACTTTTAATGTACTCAGAACTTTAGGAAGAGAGAAATGCTGTGTGAATCAGCTTAGTCTAATTTAGTGAAGGAATTACCTTGAAACCTGGAAAACATTAAAAACAGGAAGGGGGCCATTTCCACAGCCGCCTGGGGGTGCTTGGCTCGCCCAAGGTAAAGAGCCAGCTCTTGGGCGCCC